TCGCTGTCTAGCCCTGCTGTTCCTCCACCGGGGTTGTCAAAAGCCCTTTTGTGACACAGCAGATGTCCTTTCCGCCAAGTCAGGTCCTGCGCCGAATATATATGTACTCTATATCCCTGGGAGTCTAGGAAGCTTGGACTTTGAAATTTGTGTCGCTTCCTTATTATCTCAATAAACACTTACAGAGCCTCCATTTTGAGGCCCAGAAGTCGTGATTCCCCACGTGGGTCCTGACCGTGAGAGGTTTGCACAGCCCGCATGGGCATTGGTGGATGGGAGCTTGTGAACAGGTATAACCTGTAATACACCTAACTAGGTGAGTGTGGTTACAGAAGCTCAGCAGGAAGGAGTTAGGAGTTAATTTTTGATTTAGAGGATCAGGAAAGGCAGGCTGGAGAAGGTGTTACTTGTATCAGTTCTTGATCACATGAGAATATCGGGTTTGGTAGGATGAGCAAGGCACGGAAACCAGAAAGCACAGGGCTTGTTGAGGGACGGTGTAACAAGGGCTAAATATGAGTAGATGAGACAAGTGTAATTGGAGATAAGATTTGGAGGGGGAGGACTTGTGTACTGTTTGAAATGTGGTAAACACCTATGAATAGAAAGGCACCTTAATCCACCGTTTGAACTAATGTCATCCAGGCCAAAAATGTTGGAAATATTTTTGATTCTCCTTTCACATCCCCACACTGATTTTGTCAGTAAGTGGAGTGGGCTCTGCCTGCAAAATAAAGCCAAATTTGGCCAATTTAAATTACCTTCAGGGTTTCACTTGGCCAGTCAGCCTTTTTAATCCATGTCCGGAAAGTACCTTTTCACATTTCAGTGGAGTTGTGCAGTGCTCAGAGGTGCGTGGCTATACATTGTGGCCCTGCTTTACTGCAGTAACTTCTAACTGGTCTCCCTGCTTGTGCTCATTTGTCCTCAATTTATTATTATTATTTTATTTATTTATTTATTTTTTGGTACTGGGGATGAATGGGTCCTTGCGCTTGTGAGGCAGGCGGTAGAACTGAGCTAAATCCCCGGCCTCAATTTATTATTAACTCAGAGTTATTTATTAAAAATGTAAGTCTGATGAGACACTCCTCTGCTTAAAATTCTCTTAATTCATTAAAATATTATGTGCCTCCTGCGTGCAGGTTACTCTTGTAAATTTTGGAGATACAAAGTGAACAAAACTGACAAAAGTCCCTTTCTCAAATAGCTTACATTCTAATGGGACTGAAATATGACCCATAAGATAAATCCCAGCACTCTGGGAGGCTGAGGCAGGAGGATAGCAAGTTTGAGACCAGCCCGGGCAACTTAGCAAGATCCTGTTTCAAAATAAAATATAAAACAGGACTGGGGGCGTAACTCAGTGTGAAGGCCCTGGGTTTGATCACCAGTACTGAAAAAAAGTATAACATGTAGAATGTTATCATGTGCTATGTGCTAAGAAGGAAAGCCAAAAAGTAAGGAAATAAGGAAGGAGGAGATGGAAGTGGGATTGACACGGTGGCCAGGAGACATCTTCTCAGTAAGCATTTGCATGAAGGACCAAAGTGAGAGAATGAACCCAGAGGATACTGGGGGGAAGAGTGCTCTGGTAGGGGGACCAGTGCAGACAGAGACCCTTTAGCAGGAGCTTGCTGGGAATGTACATCAAGAAAGAAGGCCACTGTGACAGATGTGGTGACCAAGGAGGGGTTGAGGTCAGAAAGACATTGGGGCCCTGACCCGTCAGATGGGGTGCCTTGCAGGCAATCTGTACAGATGCCGACTCTCACCCTGACAAGGGTTTGGTGCAGGAGTGACACAGTGCAGTGTGTGCTCGTGACTGCCTCGTACAGGCTGTGTGACAGGATGGTGCAGGCTGTGTCGAGTAGCCTGAAGGGAGGCTTCAGAGGAGGCAGGGAGCGTAGTTGGCGGGCTGTTGAAATAGCCTGCGCAAGAAGAGATGAAGGCTTAGACTACAGGGATAGCAGAATATCTGAGGCACATTGTGAAGATATAATCAGTAACTTTCTTGCTGGTACCTGGGCTTGGAGAGTGAAAGTAAGAGAGAAGCCAAGAGCAAGGAGGATTTAGAGGAACAGGTTTGCAGGGCAATAGCACAAGGTAGGTTTGTACAGGTTAGATTAGAGACACCTGTTTAACCTCCGTGGGAACATTTATATACCCAGTTCTGGAGTTCATGGGGGAAGACTGCAAGAGATAAATATTTGGGAGGTGACAGCATTTAAACCATATTTAAAGCTATAAGAGCTCACAAGGGTGGTGGGAACAGAACAGGGAGGCTGAGGCACCATCATTGTGTGGCCTGAGGTAATTTGGCAAGCTGGTTCTCCTAGGGATGGGATACTACTCCATCTGGCTGTTGTAATCGTGGCAATCTTGACCATGGTGACACTTTTTCTTGGGGAGGGACAGATAAGTATGGGGGAAGCACACGTTCTCTTGTTTCTACAAGGTCTACAGTGAGGCCTTCTCAGAATATGGGACAAGGTTAAGAATAATAACGTTCAATAGAAAGCACCTACCTTCAGTGTGTTTCAGCCAGCATGGTTTTGGTGCCAAATAACAGAACGTCAAGTTTGTTCTCTACACTATTTATTTATAGTATAGAGAACAAACACACAGCCTGCCTTCGAGCTGGAGGAAGGGAGAGTGGCTGGTTACTGTTTATTCTCTTTACTTCTCCATCTCTGCTGTTTCCTGTATGCGTATCTCATCTCTGTCTGCCTGTCACTGTTGATGTCTTCATCACCTGGCCCGCCCCAGCTGCCAGATCACACATCTCACCTCACAGAGGGTGATTTGCACTCTTTCTCAGTGCTGTGAACAGAAGGATTGACGCTCCTATGAAATTCTTTTAGACTTTTCTTCCATAATGATGATCTCTCTAAGGATTGGTAGGTGTGTTTTTCCCTTTGTCAGGACCTCAAGGGAGCTCCCATTAACAGTGAAGTTGGCATGCAGAGCTGAGCTGGGCTGGAACGTCTAAGCCAGACTGACCTAAATGACCAGAAGGGAAACACCCAAAGGGTAACACACATCTGTCTGGTTTGGGATCTCAGGAATCAGTGATTTCAGCGCTCAGGCATTAGCAAAGGCAATGTGGGTAGTTTTTAAATAGAGGCACAAACTGTTTACAAAGTTCAAGCATAACTTAGCTGCCTCTTTATATTGTCTTTTAAAACACTAGCTTGAGCTGGGAGTGGTGGCAAACACTGAATCCCAGCACTCTGAGGACTGCAAATTTGAGTCCAGCCTGGACAACTCAGTGAGACCCTGTCTTCAAAAGTAAAATAAAGGGGCCAGGGATTTAGTTCAGTGGTTTTGTCACCTGCTTCGAAAGCGCAAGGACCCGAGTTCGATCCCCAGTACAAAAAAAAAAGGGAAAATAAAAAAGTGCTGGGATTCGGCTCAGTGTGGAGGCTTTGGGTTCAGTCCCTAGTAACACAAAATAAACAAACAAGAAAACTAATTAATTAAAACAAAACAAAGCAAAATAGGCTGGGGTGCAGCTCTGGGGTAGAGTGTGAGTTTAGCATGCACAAGGCCCTGGGTTTGATCCCCAGCGCGCACACACACACACACACACACACACACACAAATACAAATACAAATAAATAACTAAAACACTAGACTGAAGCAAACAATAAAAAAGAAAATACCGAAGCTGTACCTTGGCCAAACCAAACAGTCACACAGAACATGCTGGAGGTAGGCTGCCAGCTGAGAGACTGTTTTGTTTTTTGTTTTTTGTTTTTTGTTTTTGAGAAGAGTCTTGATATTAGTTCAGAGTGGCCTTGAACTCACTATTGTAGCCCAGGTTGGCCTTGAACTTCCGGTGATCCTCCTGCCTCAGCCTCCTGAATGCTGGGACGACAGGTGTGGGCCACCATGCCTGGCTCAGCTGAGAGACTTTAGAACCAGAAGCTCAGTGTCTCAAGCTCTTCAGTGCAGGGTCTCTGCACAGGACATTTCCCTACCTAAACCCAGCTTAGTTCGAGGTCTTCCCCTCCTGCCTGGTGGAGCCAAGAGCCTTTTCTTTTTTCTTTTTGGGTACTGAGGATTGAACTCAGGACTTTGTGATTACAAAGCAGGAGCAGGGATACTGGCTAAATTCCCAGCCCCCCAATTAGACTTTCTGCGCAGCAACACATGTGATCTCCTTCCTACCTGAGCCCCGCTCCAGGGTTCCTGCTCCCTGCAGATGCCCTGCCTTGCCTGAGAGCACCAGTACTGAGCCTGCCCTCTTATAGGGGAGACCCCAGCACTGACCCTTAGGAGAACTGTGTCCTCTTCGAGATAGTCGTATCACAGTGCAACATGGCCAGCCCCCGGCAGCAGGGCAAGGTGCACACATTCTTCTCTCAGAGCAGGTTTTAGTGCAGCAGCAAGGTCTCAGGTCCCCACCCTACAGAGGGGGCAGAATGATGGGTTTGTCTTGGACTTTTCATGGGTCATGCACTGACCTTGGGGAAGGGGTGGCCTTGAGAGGAGACTCAGGTGTTCCTCACCTTAGAAAAGTTTCTCCTACAGGACTAGTCGAAATGTGAGCATCTTTATGTTGTGACTGTATCTTATGAATTTGGTCCCCTGGAGTCAAACTCCTGTGCCCAGCCACCCTGGGACAGCTACTTCCCTGAGTTTCAAGGCTAAGGAGATTGTCCCCAGCCCTACGGGCTCTGCCTTTCTCCTTGTACCAGTGCCTCCACACCCAACTCTGGTCCCTAACCAAAAGGCGAGTAGCTTTTCAAGTTTGATTCCTTCATATTTAGAGAATAAAGCCCAGCATCAGGCATTAAGATGGGAAACAACTGTGCAGAGTCCTTGGGAGACCAGTGCCTATGGTATTGTGTTTGGAGTGAAAATAGCAATGTGTTCCAGAGACTTAAAAAAGAGGAAGCTGAGGAGGGTGTAGCTTGGTGGTAGGGCAGGTGCTCAGCAAGCTTGAGGCCCTGGGTTCATCTCTAGCACCAAAATGAACAAAAACCACTAAACTCCTACTGTTCCACATACTAGAGACTACATTGCAAATAGTGCATTATTCAAGGGACTGAGCATTAAACTATTCTGACTCTGGCACTTTTAGGAATAGCTGACTCTAAGGAAAACAAAGTTGAAGCAACCCTCTATTTGGAAATTATATTGAAACATTTTCTGGCCACAGGCTTTGAGCCAAAGGAATGGAAAGGACTTTAATGAGAGACGTTTGCATTTGAAGTCACCCAGTGGTGGTCACTGCAGACTCTAGTCCTGGCGGGAGGAGGTAGAGATGTGTGTACTGGCCAGCTGGTGAGCGTACAGCTCCCAGGGAAAGATCGGAGCCGACCTGGGCCTGGACCTTGGCCTCCCGTAAGTGTCATGCGGAGCTACTTTAGTAACGGGGGCATCTCAGTCTGTTTGTCGTTTAACAGAATACCTGAAACCAGATGACTTATAAAGAGGTTCATTTTGGCTCATGGTTTGGAAGACTGGGAAATCCAAGGCACAGCACCCAGGATTTGCTTAGCTTCTGGTAAGGGACTTGTGCTGCTTTATAGCATGGCAGAAAACGCAGCGAGGCAAGCAGGTGAAACAGGAGGGTGGGTGTGCTGTGGAACACCTGCTCTTGGGGTAACTAATCCAGTCCCGTGAGACTCACTGGAGAAAGGCGTCGCTCCCTCTTAACAACCTAATCGTCTCCTCGAGGCCTCGCTTCCCAACACCACCACTATGGCTGCCAAATTGCAACATGATTTTCGGAGGGGACAACATGTTCAAACTGCAAGAGGAGCTCAGAGATGGTCACGCCGAGACCTGCAGGGTCAGAAGTCCCAGCCGCTTGGAGTGTGTGCAGGAGGGGGCTGCCAGACACGGGACGCTTTGCGGGGCGGGGGGGGGCGGGGGATCGGTTCAGCCACAGTACGGTGAGCAGAGGGAGGGTGGCTGGATAAGGTTAGAGGGGGAGGGAGAGGTCAGCACCCCCCAGGCATGGAAAGGAGGCTTGAAGCAAGGGAGTCCCATGGCCTGCCTGGGGCTGGAAAGACCTTTCTAGCTGCAGAGCTTAGAGCCCGGTGTGCAAGGGGGAGAGTCCAGGAGAGCCCTCTGCGTAGTTCAGGAAAGAACATGAGCCAGAGACCCCTGCATATTTCCTTTTCTGAGATGAAACATTCAGATCTCCTGCGGTGAACATGGCTGGAGTAGATTACCCCACTAATTTATTACTCACTGCTGTGATTCGAGCCTCCCTCCCCATGTGTTGAAATTTAATCCGGGCACAGTACCCAGCCAGTCTGTTACCCATGGTACCCTGCACACCCCTGGGACTCTGAAAGCAGGAATGCAATCACCAGGTGAGGACCTTCAACCTTGGACCAGAACCTCGAGGCAAAATAAACCTCTTTTCTTTGTAGGTTACCCAGTTTCAAATGTTTCATTATAGTAATGGAAAATGGACTAATTTACAGACCTGTTGGCCTAGGCTGCTTATTGATTAGATTTGGGTTGGGAGGAGCAGCTTTCCAGGCTGATAAGAACAGCATACAGCTGGGTATGCAAAGGAGAGGCCAGAAGTCATTGGCCAGGAAAAGGACAGCAGCTCCTTCAGGTTCTAGTTACCTCGTTAACACCTTCCCAGCCTCCCCTTCCCTTTTGCCAGGAGGAATCAGTGGCAGATGGAACAGGAAGGCTGCTGATGCGCTGGAGATCAACATTAATAATGCATGACCAGTCACCATGCTAAGTAGCCTTAAGGTGACACTTGTTGTACTAGGTTGATTTAATTTTGCATGGGGAGGCAATGGGGAGATTGTTTATGTGTGTTTTAATTTAAAGTTTCATTTCGTAGCTTCTGACTGCCTGCCGTAACAAGTTCTGGATGAATTCACATTCAGCGCCAGCTCCCACATTGCTGGGGTCTGGACATAGTGGGAGGCAGAGCCAGATGCCCTGTTCTGAGGCCTTCAGAGCTGCCCAAGAGGCTCATGGGCACATGGGGAGTGAAGGCCAATTCCCCGGTTGCCACAGATGTGTGCTTTGCTAGGAACAAAGATGATTAAAATATACTGTGAAGGTTTAAAGTTTTAAAAATTATTACAGTTAAAGAGACATTGCCATGAATAATCCTCAAAATCCTTCCCCTCACTTCGAACACACGTATCCCATTGTCCTTACCACTTTCTGAAGCAGTTCTGGATATTCTCTTTCATACTTTATGAATTGTGATTTTAAAAATATGTTGAATGCTGTTGCCGAGTGCCATCCAACAGAAAGCAGACTTATAAAAACATCACACTGTGTCCTTGTCCACCTTATCCACTGGATCTGGCATTGAGCAATTTCTGGCTCTTCCTCGAAGTCAAAATGACCATGAAAGGTCAATGTTTGAATCAATTTAGGCCATCGAGGCAGCCACGACAGCACAACTAAAGACACTCAAGGAAGAGGACTTCCAGAGCTGCTTCAGAAAGTAGCAAAAACATGGGATAAGTGTGTTTGAAGCAAGGGTTAGGGTTTTGAGGGGGATTCATGGCAATGTGTCTTTTACTGTAAGAGATTTTCTAAATTTAAGCATTCATATTTTTAAATCATACCTCGGGGACAGGAGAATAGGTTTCAGTCAGTCCAAGTCCCTGAGGGGTTCACCCCCTCATGTGCCCAGAGGCCGCTGCACAGCTGGTTTGAGGACCACTGGCCTAGGCCACCTCACATTACAAATGGGGTGACTCACGAATACAAATGATCACTTGTCCTAGCGCCCAGTGAGTTGGGGGGACAGCCTGAGCCAGAACAGGTCTCCAGGCCCCTTGGCTCCTAAATTCCTACTGCATGAGGCTGGAGCTCCAGAGAGATGCAGGAGGCTCTGCCTGGTCCCGAGATTGGGGCAGGGTCAGATGGACCCAGCTGTTTGACTTTGGAAGAAAACTGGGCACTCCTGATCAGCCCCTGTGTGTGTTGACAGTGCACTAAGGATGCATTTGTGTTTCAGAGCCCCAGAAGGAATCAGACCATCTGCCACTCACCATGATGCTGACTGCTCACCTCTCCAGACCCCTGTCACAATTCCCAGGAAGAACCCTGAGGGTCTGTGACAGAGAAAATGGAACAAGGTAAGCAGTGAAGGGTGGAAGGGGCATTGAGCATCAGACTTTCCACACCTGGGTGACCAGAGGTCATGGGTCTTGACTCTCAGAGGTGTCTCAGTAAGGAAGCCGGAAGTGACCTCAGAAGACACCTTCCAGGGTGAAGAGGAATAACTTTCATAACTGCTTTCTAAAACACTTTTTGTTTTGAAATCACTTTAGACTTATATAAAAGTCACAAAAATGGTATGGTGGGTTCCAGAAGGAACTTAACTTCCCGCGTTATTCCCATCTTACGAAACCACAATGCAGTGACCAAAATCAAGAAATCATCATTGCTCTAAAACTGCTAACCAAGCCACGGACCTTATTCGGATTTCACTGATAGAACTTTTTCTGGTCCTGGTTTCTAAATCCAGGATCCCACATTGCATTTAGTTGTCATGTCTCCTCTTTCTCCTTCCCTGCCTCCCTCCCTTCCTTCCCTTCCTCCATTCCTTCCTTCTCTTGCTTCTGGGGATTGAATCTAGGACCTTTGCACTGCACTACATCCCCAGCATCCCCCTTTTGTTTTCTTTCTTTCTTTTTTTTTTTCCCAGGGTCTCGCTATGTAGTCCAGGCTGGCTGTGAACTCACTATGTGGCTCAAGCTGGCCTCATACTCAAGAACTACCTTTTTCTTTCTGTTATATTTTAGGGGAGCAAAATTGAGTGTCAGGTTAAGGAGTTAAGAAATCGATATTTTCTATGCCAGCAAATGTCTTTACAAGAGTATGTATTCAGGCTTCTTTCTATTCTAGGACTGTTCATTTGGTTTTTGAGACAGGGTCTCACTTTGAAGTTCAGGCTGACCTTGAACTTACGATGTAGCCCAGGCTGGCCTCAAACTCCCAGCAAATCCTCCTGTCTTGGGGTCCTAAGTGTATTTAGGCTCTTAGCTGCATTTACATGGGATTCAGAGCAGAGGCTCAGCCCAGAAATGGGCTTCAAATACCAGAGGTCACCATGTAGAGGAGCCTGCAGCAGGGGCAGCAGGGGCCACCATTCCAGGAGGGGACAGCCTGGCTCTGTTGAAAGGCTTTAGAAACAAGGTGAGTTTCTGCATTAAAAAAAACAAATCCACTTATATTTACTTGCATTTCATTAGTCTGAATCCTAAAGGGCACAGATTCTGTGTTCAATGGCATTAGCAGGAAGGTTGCTTTGCCATTTGGCCCCAACCATGCCACTGTGTCTGTGGGTGTAAGTAACCTTCCCCCAGATGACTCTAGTTTGGCTTCTTTACCACCAGGAGTCACCGTGGATTTTGTACCACTTATGAGCCTGGCATAGCTCTCAGTAGTTGCCTAGCAGGGAGGAGGGACACTCCTGGGAAAACCACAGCCTTATCTTAGGGATTTTGGGCTCAACCTCTGTTGCAACAGGGCAGCAAGATGTCCCAGAAGGCATTGAGGCTTCTGCTTGCACCTCATTGGCCAGAGGTGGGTCATGTGCTGTGGGTAGAGTTGGGTACATGGCCCGGAACAAAATACAGATTTGTTAGAGGGTACTGAGAAGCGCAAGTATCGGCAGGATAACAGCACTGCCTGCAACAGCTGAACCCAGCTGTGGCCTAACGCTTATGTTGTCCCCAGAGTTCTTAGGGACTTGGCAGTCAAATAGCTCTAAAGGGAAAGCCCTAGGGGGAAAAGCCCTTTTTTTCTTCCCTTTAAGGCAATCATGTTTTGATGTCTGGGTTGCAGGTTAGAATCTCTCAGAGCACTGTGGGGAAAGAAAGTCCTTGTGCCTCACCCCTGAGGATTCTGATTTCAAGGGTGAAACCAGGCTTAGCTGTTTACAGTTGTAAAATCTTCCCTGTAATAATATACATATATGTGTATATATATATATTCTATGGAAACCAGGCATGGTGGCCCATGCCTATAATCCCAGCACTTGGGAAGCTGGAGTGAGATGTTCGCCACAAGTTTGAGGCCAGCCTAGGCTACATAGTGAGCTCAAGGCCGACCTGAATTATATAGCAAGAACCCGTCTCAAAAAAGAAAAAGTTTTCATGGAGACTCTCAAACATACGAAAGGAGGAAGCAGTACATGGACCCTGAGCACACCCACCACCAGGCCTCTGTAATGATCAGCTCAGGGCCAGTTATGTTTCCTCTGTATCTCTACCTCTTCTCCTCCACTGTCCCTCTGGATTATTTTGATATAAACCCTGGACATGGTGTTTTGTTTGTAAATATTTTAGGGTCTGGCTCTAAAGGATAAATTGTAATGATGTAATCACAACTGTGACCATGTGTGTTCGGAGTGATTCTCATCAGCCGGGCAGGAGAGCCTGAGCTCTGCCTAGGGCCCACAAGAGCAGTCCCCTCAATTACACATGCAGATTCCCAGGTGCTGCCCCTTCCTACTGAGCCAGGATATCAACTGGAGAGGCCTGGGACTTTGCCTTTTCTCAATATTTAGAAGGAATATTAATTTTACTGAAGTTACAAATTTAAAAATGGGTTCCTGAGTCTAACTTATAAATCTTTTTTCTAAGTCTGGTGAATTTTAACACCAACCTTTGAAGTGCCCTTTTTTTTTTT